CCAATAGCTTTTCGAGGGCCGCGTGGCCCGCCAGAGGGAGACCCCTTCCTCGGCAGGACCCAAAACAGGCTCGGGAGTGGGCCCAGGACCCTTGCTGAACCGATGGGCGACACGGCCCCCCTTAGAAACAGAAGGCTGCGCAAAATCCGACCATGCCTGCCTGGACTTCGCCGCGTCACTGGAAAGCCTGGATCCGACCTCCTGGGATAGTTCTTCAAACAACATGGGAACCCGTTCGGGGTCCTGGAGGCCGCCCAGCAAACTGCATCCTGCGCGCCCTCTCAGCGCCTCCGACTCCGCTGAGGCAATGCACGGGCTAACCTGGTGAAGAACCTCCAAGAGCCCCCCCCCACCCCCGCCCCGCGCCACCCCCGTCGAGCCCACGTGTTCCCTGGTCAGCCCTAGCAGCCGCGTGAGAGCGCGCCGCAGCTGAAGCCACTTGGCTGCGGCAGCCTTCGAGCATCGCGCGAGCTCTCGGCCCCGCGCCGCTCTTAGGGGCACCATCTGAAATTGGCAACCCCGAGCCCTGCCCAGGCACTTTAAAAACTTCTCCCTGGGGGATTCTGCGAGGCGCTACCAAGTAGGACTCAGCTACTTTAGACCACTCTTGGGCCGCCTCGAGCGGCCTGCTCGGGACAGAGCCCGCCTCCCAGAAGCAAACAGCGCTGGTGAGATCGGGCCCCGGGATTTCGACGCCCCCGGGATCCTGTGCCGGGTCGAGCGGGAATCCACATGGCACTACGCGCTGCCAAACCATCGCTGGCCCAACAAGGCCCTTCAAGCCCAACGAGACTCCAGCGCGGGGCCCCCTGGGCGCGTTAAGCACAGCTTGGATTTGTGACACGCGCGGCAACAAGCACTGCGATATCGCACGCTGCTGCCAAGAGTGTCATCTTCAGGCGCCACGGCCTGGAGGTGCTACAGAGCTGGCCAGTCAGAGGCCACCAGCTCGTCCACTGGGATGCCCCAGTCGCCGACGACCACAACGGGCCACTCTGACGACGCAATAAACTCCCCCAAGATCGAAAGCAGGTCTTGGTCCCTCGGGCCCAGACCCCGTTGGTCACCAGGTATGCCGAGGCAGAGATGATCTGAACAGAACTGGCCACCGCCACCAGCTGCGCCACAAGCCTGTGCCTCACCCGATCGGGGAAGCACTCCGCCAAGTGCTTGGACCCTGCCACCGAGCGAGAAAGCATTGCCACGCCACCTGAGCGTTCCAAGGCACCGCCCCTCGTCGGCACCGCTGCCCCAGCGCGCACGACGTAGCCAGCTCCCCCTGCCCATGACATCGGAGGGGCCGAACTTCTAGCAAGCAACCGCGTCTCCTGCAGAAAGTAGTGGTGAACCTCCTGGCCTGCGTCGTGATGCACCCACTCCATGAACGACTGGCCAGTCGACCACGAGTTGCAGCTCTTGGTGACCAGGCAGACCACGTCGACCCCCGTCGGTCCGCGCATGCTGACTCCGCTTAGAGCCACCGTCTGAACCCAGTAGCACCTCTCGCAGCTGCCGCCTCTCGCCTGGCCGCGACCCCGAGGTCGCACACATCCCCGCCCCTGTAACCGCAGACTGCAGCGGGCGCCAGGTGGGACGGGGGCGGGGAGACACGGCCCGAGGCGGCTGGCGCTGCCACGGCACCAGGACTTCCAGCGGCCACCCCAAGTACATGTCCGTCTCTATGTCGACCGCGTGGCTGCCCCCCCCCCCCCAGGCTCCAGAGGCGCGGCGGCGGCGGGCCTCCAGGGTGCCGGGGCCTCCGCGGCGGCGGCTTCGCTGCCGGCGCCTAGGGGGGGCCAGTGCCCCAGCTGCCGAACTCGATCCACCAGTGACCCTCGGCGCTGACGGCGGCGCCGAAGAAGTAGTGCACGCGGGCGCGCTCGCGCGATCAGCAGGGTCTGAATCCCCCACCCCCGCGCCCAAAGCCTGGCCTCGACCTTCGCCAAGCCGCCGCATCTCATCGCGAACGCGTTGCAACTCACTCCAGCGTCTAGCCTCTTCTTGGGCTCGCAAAGGCAAGGACTGGCCCTCGAGCCAGCGCAAGTCGTTCACGATGTTACCCCGATTGGTCCTGCTCGAGTCCCACGCCACTCTGCACGCGTCCTCCGCCAGCTCCTGGAGAGAACGCCAATCGGGCGCATCGTGCACCCAGTGAGCACGTTGGGGCCGCCGCAGCAACTCCACCGTCGCTGACACGCAGGCCCCCATCCAGCTGGACTCGCCAGAATGGGGCTCGGCCAGGAGCGGCACCCAACGCGCGGCTGCCGCGTCGAGGCCGTCCTGGAAGACGGCGCCGGGCCCATCGAACACGTCGCCCTTGGGCGGGCGCCCCATCGCAGCAGGCACAGGTTGGGACTCCGCCTGGGCGCCCGCCTTGACCTCAGGGTGCCATCGCCCTGCCATTCGCGGGCGCCCTGCACTGCCCTGGGCGCCCTCGCCCCCACGGGAATGGCCCCCTCCCACCGCCGCACCATCGGGGGGCCCTGCCTGCTGCACCTCGCCCTTACTGTCGCGAGCACGAGCACGCACATCAGGCCCCGCAGGAGCAAGGCTCGGGGCGGCGTCGGCCTCCACCACCTCGGGCTTGGCAGCAGCAGCGGTGCCTCCGCGCCACCCCCTTCGGCTCCTACATCGCGAGCGGTGCCGTCTGATACCTTGCGCTTCTTGGTGGCTCGAACGCACTGCTTGGCGTGCTCTGCTTTGAGCTTGTCAAACTGATCCGTTGCTTGAGCAAATACAGACTTGGCATTATCCGCGATGTGTTGTTCTGTTTTCTTTCTTCTGTCCAACTGTTCTTACGCTGCTGGAGATCCTACTGGTCACCACCCGATAAATCAGATTCCTCCTCGCCCACCTCGAAAAGGTCACCACAATCGACCTTGAAGCTTCCATCCAAGAGGGTGTCGAGCCGAGCCCCCGCCGCAGGAGGCCCAGCATGCGGGGGAGGGCGAGAGGCTTCGTCCGTGAGCTTGGCCTTGAGAGCCGCAATCCTGCCGTCGAAGTCATCGAGATCCTCGCTGAGCTCTTGGATCTTCTCGCGCTGCCGAGCCAGACTCTTCTCCCATTTATCAGCCAGGTCCAACTCTTTCTCCATATTCTTAGTGCGGGCGTCTCGCTCATCCACCAGCTGGGAAAGGTGCTTCTCAGGTGGCAGCACAGCAGGGCCGCCTCCTCCTCCCCCTTATCTCAGGAAGGTGGCAAACAATTGCTTTCAATGCGGAGCAGCCCTCTCGTCTCGAAAACCGTGGGCACAGCAGCAGGCCGTCTCCCAGCCCGAGCAGTCGGGCAAGGCTGGCCGCTGGCGCAAGGAGGAGGAAGGAGGAAGGAGGAGGGAGGAGAGAGGATGGAGGAGGGAGGAGAGGGGAGGGAGGAGGAGGAGGGAGGGAGGAGAAGGAGGAGGAGGAGGAGGAACGAGGAGGAGGGAGGGAGGAGGGAAGAGGAGGAGGAGGAGAGGAGGAGGAGGAGGAGAACGAGAACGAGAAGGAGGAGGAGGAGGAGGAGGAGGAAGGAGGGAGGGAGGGAGAGAGGGAGGAGGGAGGAGGGAAGAGGGAGGAGGAGGGAGCAGGGAGGGAGGAAGAGGGAGGAGGAGGGAGGAGGGAGGAGGGAGGAGGGAGCAGGGAGGAGGGAGCAGGGAGGAAGGAGGCAGGGAGGAGGGAGGCAGGGAGGGAGGGAAGGAGGGAGGAGAAGGAGGAGGAGGAGGAGGAGCAGGAGGAGGAGGAGGAAGGAGGGAGGAGGAAGGAGGGAGGAGGAAGGAGGGAGGAGTCAGGAGGAAGGAGGAAGCAAGAAGGGCCGACAGGGGGGAGGCCTTCCAAGAAGGCGGGGGGGCTTCTACGAAAGCTGCAGAGGGCCTCTTGGGGGAGCCCCCGCCTGGCCTGTCAGAAGAGTCCCCGGGCCCTTCTAAAGTGAGGCCACCGCCCTCCGAGAAGAGAAGTCCCCCGCCCTCTTCGAAGGCCTCCCCCCCATCGCGCCACCCTCTTGTGCGCGGCACTAGGTTTAGGTCGGGCATGTCCTCCTGCAGGCGGATGTTGGAGGAAGAACCAAACAAGTCAAAAAGAAATGGTGGAACAAAATCGTGACCTGACTCTTTTTTTACCATTCTTGAATACTCCTCCTGTAGAGGGACATGCCCGACCTAACACTAAGTCAGAAGCCTCCCAGATGGGGTTGGAGCGGATGGGGTCGGAGGATCGCGCCGCAGCGTCGATGCATCGCCGACGTATCGGCGACACATCGGCGACGTCAGCGATGCATCCGCGACGCTGGCATGGAGAAAACTGGGATCCACATCGAGCCGCATAGCTGCTGCATCGCCGATACGGCGCGATCCCTGCCGTGCGCTTGGCCTCCTGGGGAAGCCAAAAAATACCAATACCGCTATTCCCCGACCTCTCCCGGGGTGCGTTCTGACCAGCGTTTTGAGTCGAATCCAGCGGTAGCGACGATGGCCTCCCAGAAGGCCCCAAAAAGGCGAGAACGAGGCAAAGGGTGGCGGTATTGGTACCTTTTCCCTTCTCTGAACATCGCCGATGCGGCGCGCTCCCTGGCGTGCGTTTGTTGAGCAGGGACCGACCGTCCCAGCATTCCTGTAGGCCTACGACGACATGCTCTCAGAACCCCAAAACGTTCTGAGAACTAAAACCCATGCTCGTGGAACAGAAACCCGACGTTAAAAAAACAAGAGAGCCTCGGCCAGAAATGCTCGAAAAACATTTCGTGCAAACCACAAAATCTTATCATAACATTATTTGGTGGACCTGCAGGCGAGCCAGGACGCTTCGCCACTGCTTGAGTTAGGTCGGTCATGTCCCCCTACAGGCGGATTTTGGACGAAAAAGAGAAGATACCCCGAATCGCTTAAAAAACAACTAAATAGCAATCCAGCAAAATCTGGACACAAATATACAAAAGTTATCCCCATACTACTTTTTGCCTATTTTTGAACATTCCTCCTGTAGAGGGACACGCCCGACTTAATGCTTGAGGCTGGCCTCCCCCCCGGAGGCCTGCACCGCGTCTGGGTGCTTCACGTCCGCCACCCGCAGCAGCGGGCACCGCTTCAGCATGCCTCGGGGATCTTCTGACCCGGGTCAATCCAGACCCAGATCAGCAGGAAACCAAAAACTGCAATGCAGGAAAACAAACTGCAACGCAAAACTTCGCAAACCCGGGTCAGCCAATAGGCGCGGCCGCCTCGCGGCCACGAGCGGCTCGCTGACCCCAGTCAGCCAGAGGGGGGTCTTCGCAAGATCCTGCAGGATCCGGTGCCCTGGCTGACCCCCGTTTGCACTGACCCCCCTCTCTTGAGCCCCGAAATGCCTGGCAGCGCCCCGCTGCCGTCGGGGCCGCCGTCGATCTCGCACTCGCGCACGCGCTCGAGCAGCCGGTCGGCCCCCGCCGGCGCGGCGCTGCGGCTGCTCAGCGCGGCCCACACGGCGGCGCGCAGCTGCGCGCAGGCGGGGGCCCAGACCTCTCTCTTCTTCTTCTTCTTCTTCTTCTTCTTCTTCTTCTTCTTCTTTTTCTTCTTTTTCTTCTTCCTTCTTTTCGTTCGACGCGCAGGCCCCCCAGCTACTCATGCTCAGACCTACTCCTACTCAGACTTACTCATGGTGAGACTCACGCACGCCCCGCTCGCGGCCGTTTTGTGGGGATGCCTCGAGCGGTTTGCCTCTTCTCTGTCCCAACATCCTTCGCTTTCGGAGCAGATTTGGAGGATGTCTCGAGCGAGGCGCTCATTTTCACCCCCCTAAGGGGAGCCGCCAGGGGTTATCTCACGGTCCCGTTCGCGGCCGTTTTGTGGGGATGTCTCAAGCGGTTTGCCTGTTCTCTGTCCCAACATCCTTCGCTTTCGGAGCAGATTTGGAGGATGCCTCGAGCGAGGCGCTCATTTTCACCCCCCAGGTGGGCCAGATTTTGAGGATGTCTCGATCGGTGGCCAGACTCGTGGGCACAGATTCTCCTCAGGATGCCACAGGAGGCTCCAACAGGCTCCAGGAGGCCCCAGGAGACCACATGAGGTCCCAGGAGGCATCAGGAGGCCACAGAAAGACTCAAGAGGCCACAGGATGTCCCAAGAGGCTAGGCCCCAGGAAGCTCCGGGAGGCCTCAGGAAGCCACAGGCGGCCCCAGGAGGCCAGAGGAAGCGCCAGGAGGTCTCAGAAGGCAACAAGAGGCCCCGAGAGGCCTCAGGAGCAGGAGGCCTCAGAAGGCAACAGGAGTGGCTCCAATCCCATGTGTTTTACGTATGCTCCTATAGATTGAGCCTCACCTGGAGCACGAATCCTTGATGTTATATGTATGTTTCTATAGATTGTCCTTCTCCTGTGTACTTATCTTCCTATAGGGCCTCTCCTGGGGCACGAATCCTTGGTGTTCTACGTGTGTTTCTATAGATTGTCCCCTTCTCCTGCGGCTCCAATCCGCAATGTTTTATGTACGTCTGTTGCTATAGATTGGGCCTCTCCTGGGGCACGAATCCTCCCTAGGAGGTCCCAGGAGGCCCCAGGAGGCCCCAAGAGGCCCCAAGAGGCTCCTGGAGGCCCCAGGAAGCCCCAGTAGGTTTCAGGAGGCCCCAGGAGGCCCCAGGAGGACACAGGCTCATGGCTCATGCGTAGAGACGCGCTCGTACTACAGAGGCTCATTCACACTCCAATTCATTCTCAGTTAGACTCATGACCAGACCGTCACAACTGAAGCCCGTTTGTATTCGAAAGCTCTTGCGCCTAGACATTCACGGCGGACAGGTCCATGCGAATAGATGCACACCTGGGGAGCTCACAGCAGTGAATCATTTTCTTTCCACACTGGGCGGAAGGGGAGGGGAGGGGTGGGGTCCGGCTCCGGACCTCTGCTTACTGCGACTGTTGGCAACAGTGCGTCCTGTGGGGGGAGGCTCCGCCTGCTTGAAACAGGCGCCGAAAGCAGCCAAGATCTACTCCATGAGGGGAGGGGACGGGGGGTGCGAGGGCCCGCGCCGATCGGCAAAATAATGAATGAGAAAACGATCACATCCCCGACGAACTGATTTGTTCAACGGGCAGAATCCTCCACGATTTCGGTGCTCGGGAGCCTTCTTCGGGCCCTGGGACACTCAAGCAGGAATCAGGGGCGAAAAACTACCACGGGAGGCGGTCGGAACCTCTGGGGCCGCGGACTGGAGCCCATCCTTTTTTGTTACTATTCGAGAAAAAGCCTGTCACGCCAAGACTCGCGCTGGCGCCATCTGGACATGACCCATTCCTGGGCATTCCCAGGAAGCGCCCCAGCGCGAAGCGCGACGTGAGCAGGCGCCCCCGCCCCCCAACCCTCCCCCCGTCACGCCCGCTACAGTCGGGCTGCTGAAACAGAGAGCGCGAATTAAATGGAGTACAAAGCCGTCTTCTTCTTCTTCTTCCTCCTCCTCCTCCTCCTCCTCCTTGCATTCCTCCTCCTCCTCCTCCTCGCCTTCCTCCTTTTCCTCCTCCTCCTCCTTCTCCTCCTCCTCTTTCTCCTGGTGTTCCTTCTCCTCCTCCTCCTCCTCCTCCTCGCTTCCCTCCTCTTCCTCCTCCTCCTCCTCCTCCTCCTCCTCCTCCTCCGCGGGCGGGGCCCCGGGGGTCCCCGAGTCCGGTGAGACCCCCGGGGCTCTCGGCGAGCGCCCCCTGCGGACCGGCGCCCTCCCCAGGCAGGCGACGATCAAAAACGGGTCTTGCGCAAGATGGCATACCAACCTTAGGCAGTGGTTTGCGCGGGCCTCCGGCGCGGCACGCCACAAAAAAGACGAGGGCGCCTACGCGCGACCTTGCGCGGGCAGCTTGCGCGCCAATGTCGGCGCGGACGACCCCGGTTTTTCTTGCGTCCTTCAGGTGATGCAGTACGGGCCCGACCACGAGAAACCTTCCACAAGAAACCCAACCCTGAGACCCCAGGACGTCCCTTGATGTTTGGCGTGGGAGCGCCACGCTTTCCATCGCAAAACCATCGAAACCCAAGAAACCCAGGGCACCCTGGAGGCAAGGAGGGTGTTTCTTGACATGGGCCTCCGCTGTACAAGAGCGGCCTCGCGCAAAAACCAAGCCGGCGGCTGTCAAGGGTGGGGGTGGGGGGCCAGAGCAACAGCGGTGCGCGGTGCCCCTCGGGGGCGCCACCCCCGCCGCCGCAGACGGGGGTGCGACCGGGAAGCAGCGGCAGGGCAGGGTGGGCCCCGAGGGCTCTTGTCGTGACGACCCCAGCGCTGGTCTCGCGTGGCTCGTTCGACCTTCAACGGTCGGCGGTTTTACAGCCGCCAGATATTTTCGTCCTGGTCGACTCTGGGCGGCCACTGGCGGCGTGCAACCTTGAGCGCCACTGGCGGCGTCGGCACAACACGAGTTTACCGTGAGTCTGGGGCCTGGTTCGGGGCCAGGTCTTGTCGGGAGCAGTGGCGAAGGGGGGGAAGGGCCAGTTTGGGAGTCGGCACCACGCCTGAAAGAATCCTTTCTGCCTTTTGATACGCATTCTCGGGAGCCTCCAGGTCCAAGAAGTTCCCCTCGTCTGCTCAGAAGGCCACCCCACGGCCCAAGATCCGCCGGAAGCCAGCCCCCCTCCTCCTCCTCCTCCTCCTCCCCCTCCTCCTCCTCCTCTTCCTCCTCCTCCTCCTCTTCCTCCTCCTTCTCCTGCTCCTCCTCCTCCTCCTCGCCTTCCTCCTCCTCCTCCTCCTCCTCCTCCTTCTCCTCCTCCTCCTCCTCCTCCTCCCTCCCTCCTCCTCCTCCAGCTGCCGCCCCGCTTCGAGAGGTTGCGGGCGCTGTACTAGACACAGCGAACCTCTCTCGGGGTGGGCAGCCACGCGCGCCGGCCCACGCCCGCGCGTCGGGCGCGCGGGTCCCGCCGCGCCGCGGCGCACTCCTGCGGGCGGCACGCCGCGCCAGCAGGGCAGCGAGCCAGCATGGCACAGGCGTGCCCGACAGCAGCGTGCTCAAGCCCGACTTGCAATGCGTCTGGTGACCGCCGCGAAGTGTCTCGCAACGCACCACTCTTTCTTAGCTCAACGCCCGCACAGCCTCGGCGAAAAAGGACACAGCAGCGGCGGCTGGGAAACCACTGCTGGAAGTGAGGGAGACCTCACTGACCGAAAGAGTACCTCAAGCAGCCCCATGGGCTAGGAGGCACTGGCCACGCGACGGGCGACCGCCCCGTGGCCAGAGCAAGAGAAAAACAGCCCAGTGCCTCAGCAGGGCATACGGTCGGGGAGGACAAATCCCCCCCCGTGCCTGCCGCGCAACCTGCACAGAAAGGTCGGCGGCCCCCTGGGCAACTGTCACCGCAGGGGAGCCATCGCCCCACGGCCGTGCGACAGTGGGCGAGGGCACCACTGGGCAGTGAAAAGGACGGCCACGACGATCACCCTGCGCCTCGGACGATCGCCGCCGCCCGCGCGCGCAGCGCCCGCCGCCCACAACCACGCCGCCGCCGCCGTCGCCGAGGCCGGGGGCGTGGGCGAGCGCCAGCGCACCAGCGCCGCGGCGCCTGCGAGCCCGCCGCCGCCGCCGACGCCGAGGCTCCTGGCCTCCAGGCGGCGCGTCGCCTGCGGGGGCTGCAGGCGGCCCCATTGCACCTCCACCGTCAGCTCCGCCATCGGCCGCAGGGCGGGCTGCCCGAAGCTCCGCCTCGAGCATCGCCGCTGCAGCCCGAACAGGGCCCTCGGCCGAGCGCAGCAGTCTGGCGGCCGCCGCACCCCGCGCCAGACCAGCAGCGCCATGCACCACCAGCGCGGCCCCACGGGCCGCAGCCAGCGCCGCGCGGCGATCCGTCGCTGCCGCCATCGGAGGCCCGCGGCGGGCGCGGCGGCCCAGCGGCGGCGAGCTCGACGAGACACGGCTTGAGCCAAAATGGCTACGGAGCTCGCAACGCACCACAGCGCGCGGCAGGCCAGAGGCAAAGGCGGCGGAGGAAAGGGCGGTCAGCAGTCCCTACCGCCCCCGCCGCCCCCGCCGCGGTGGTGCCCAGCATGCGGGCGCGCAAATGCTGCCAGCGACCTGCTGTGCAGGACCTGCTACCCGCTGCCGCAGCAGGGCCCCGCGGCGCTCAGCGTGTTCCGCGATCAGCCGCAGCACCAGCAGCAGCAGCAGCAGCAGCCGCAGCAGCAGCAGCATGCACCAGCGGGCAGCGGGCGAAATCAGCACGGAGGAGGTGGCCGTGACCAGCGGCGGCGGAGGCGTGCTTCAAGGCCAGCCCACAGCAGCGCTCAGCCCAGTCGCCATCGCAGCCCGAGCCGTGCTCCGCGGCCCACCCATCCCCAGCAGCGAGATGGCGAGCCTGCGGAGGAGCCAGCCCCAGAGGTGCCCTCCCGACGCAGGTCACCCCGTCGGCGCTCGCCAGCCACAGACGTCACGTTCGACGAGAGCGAGCCTGAGTCGACCGAGGAGACGGCGGACCGTCCAGCAGGCCCGCAGGAGGCCCTCGATGTGCTCCCTGCAATGCCAGAGCAGGCGCGTGCGCACCCAGCCTGGGTGCAGC